TTGAAATCATCAATCATAATCTTTTCAACACGTAAAAACATTATATATTCATATCTTTATCACGTGCTTATATTTTTTCAATGCTTAGTCCCCTACATTGTCCCGCACGTGCAGTTTGTGAGGTTAATTCTATATTATTAATATTAAATCATTAATTGTCTGCATTGTCAACAATTTAAAAAAGAATAATAATAAAAAAATCAATAACCACCCTAAACTTTAATAAAATGTTAATTACAATTAGGCGGCAATAAATTTCTTGATTCACTCATTATACGTGATTATTATTTTTAAACTTTTTTTTTTTATATACTCATTTTCAATCATACATTCATAATAAAATATTCTGCACTAAATTAATTTTTTTAACTAAATAATGACCATCAAACATGGTCTTAATCAATAGTGGACCGATTCAATGAGTTGAATTGTATCACGATTTTATTAAGAATTAAGCTATTGGTACCCTCCTCTTTACCCTCTCCTTTACCCGACCCCACCTCCCCTCTCACATGGAGGTTGGGTCCCACTCCCAATAAATGCGTGGGGCCCAACCTCCATGTGAGAGGGGAGGTGGGACCGAGTAATCCCAAGTGTAAACAAGAGGGTACCTCTAGCATGACCCTAAATTTAAAAATTATTTTGTAATATATTTTTATCCAACTTGGTGTGCGGAAATTTGATTTTTGATTTTTTTATTTTTTTTAGTAGCGAGCATATATACTCGCGCGTAATGCATTCAGATTCTCCAATCTTCTCTTTCAGGTTTGGAGGTTGGTTCACTGGGAAAATACACACTATAACACTGCACGTGCAGAATTGCTCTCCATCCCTCGGTTCTCCGCCAACCCTTATCTTTAATTAAAGCTCACTGAGTCACCTTCGAGTTAATGGAAGTCGACAGCACACAAGCTCTCAAACCCTTCGATCTCAACTCGCCACTGTCTAGGGGTTCTATGGACCATTCGGAGTTTCGGAGCCACGAGATGTCGGAGGAGGTTCAAATGACGGTGAACGTTCAGGAACCGGATGAGTCTCTTTCTTCTGGTTCCCCGGCAGGTGTTCCGACGAGATGCCCCTTGAGTGCGGCCACGAGAGTCCAGAAGGTTTACCGGGGCTATCGAACTCGGCGTATGTTAGCAGACTCCGCTGTGGTTGCTGAAGAGCTCTGGTATTCTTTTCTTTAAGCGTAAATTACTAAATTTTAGAATGCTTTCTAAAGTTTTATCTGTATTTTTTTTCTTTGGTTGAATTTTAGGTGGCAAGCGATAGATTATGCGCGATTAAATCTCAGTACGATATCCTTTTTCAATTTCTCGAAGCCAGAAACAGCAGCATCGCGGTGGAATCGTGTTAGTTTGAATGCTTCAAAGGTAAAATAAAATAAAAATAAAAATAAAAAAATAGTGATTTCTTCTTGTAATTAATTTTATAAAGATTTTTTTTTTTTATTTAAATATTTGAAGAAGTTAGTTGAAAAATGTAAAAGGCCAGAGACAATAAGACTAAACACTTGGTCGTATTACGAAAAAGACATCGATTATTTGATTTGTGTTTGACCTATATGTGGCCAGGTGGGAAAGGGTTTGTCTAAAGATGCCAAGGCACAAAAGTTGGCTTTTCAACACTGGATTGAAGCTGTGAGTTACTCTTCTCTTGGCTGGAGTTCAAAATATCTACTGTTAACTGCAAGCTATGTACTGTTGCTATTGAATACTATATGCTTTATTTGATAATGACTCTTTGATTATAGAATTTTGTGAAGTTGGATTTGATTCTTATGCTCTTAATCTAGATTGATCCAAGGCACCGATATGGGCACAGCTTGCATCTTTATTATGAAGAGTGGTGTAAGACTAATGCTGGTCAGCCCTTCTTCTACTGGTGAGTGGTGAGAAAGCTTTGAATTAATTTGATGCCATGAATTTACACTTTTGAGTGTCTTTTTGGTAGTTTGTAGTGATTAATTCATATTGTCTATTGTCATAGTTCTTTATCTAAGCAGGTCAAGAATGATGTCTTATGTATAGTTACCGTTAATGAGCTGAGTCAGAGGATCAAATGCATGATCATTAATATTCAAGTGTTGATCATAAACTAGCGATCTTGTAAGTTTCAAGATTGTTTTGAGAAAAATTTGGACCAAATATGTAGATGAAACTTGTATCAGTGTTCTTGCCTGATAGTGGGCTCCTTGTTATGAAAGTAAAACTATTAGAACTGGTTACACTAGAGTTATTGATTTCCTATAATCTAGAACCAAAAGCAGATAGAAACCAACATATGTACTCTGTACAGGCTGGATCTAGGCGATGGCAAAGAAGTTGATCTCGAAGAGTGCCCAAGATCAAAGCTTCGTCAACAATGCATTAAGTATCTTGGACCCGTACGTGATCAAAATTGCTTTACTTTCTGCAAGGCATTTTGTTAAAGTTTTTAATGGTTATGTTATTATAAATGATTGGAAGCATCCATGATACTATTGGAACGTATATAATGCTCATCAGTTACTGATGCAACCGCAATAGTTAATGATGCAACGTTTATAGTGGCATCTTGACTGTGTTTTTACCCTTATTGTTCTTGGTTCTGACTCATGTCTTTTAAATCAGGAGTTCTTAATTTTTTATTTATCTTTGATGTGGTCAGCAAGAGAGAGAACATTATGAATACGTGGTTGTTCATGGGAAAATATTGCACAAACAAACTGGAATACCTCTTGATACAAACAATGGATCGATGGGTTTGAAATGGATATTTGTGATGAGCACCTCTAAGAGACTTTACACTGGAAAGGTGAGGTCTAAAACTAAAGTAACTTTATCTTTCTTTTTACCCTCATCTAGAAATTCTAATTCGTTGCAATATCTAAATACTAATTGCCTCAGAAAAAAAAAGGATATTTCCATCATTCAAGCTTTCTTGCTGGAGGGACTACTTTAGCCGCCGGGAGGCTCATCGTGGAAGATGGAGTACTTAAGGTACTTTCTTGGTAGCCGTCATTATCAAATCTGTTGCTTTTAAGACAGATCAGTCTTTTGCATTATAGAATACTAAGTTCCATACTTGGTTCTGATTTGTAGAACATGTTATTGCTCTAAATTCCCCACGGTACTAAATTCTGTGTCCCTAGATTAACTGGTGCTTGTGCCTGTCAAATATACACAATAATATTCAATAAGACTCGATGCCCCTCTATATGAGACGTTCTCTCATTATATAGAACCAAAAACATAACTAAATATGATAAAAGTAATCTATCTATATATGATACAATTATAATGATAATATAATCGTAATTTTCGACGATTTCCGTAATCTTATTCAATCTCATTGACATCCCCCTTCAAATTGATGCGGATAAAAAAATCAATTTGCAATCATGAACTGGCGACAGTGACAATATTTGTGCCCACGAAGTAGAAATCCAAATCAGAGCAATCATCTACGAAAATTAGTGACGACGAGAGATCAAGAACAATAAATAGTGCAGTAATCAACAAAGAACACTTCAAAGAACTCACGCTCTCCAAGAAGAATTTCCAAAAGAAATTCACGAAGTGTGCCGACACACACGGTGAGTTTTATCTATCTGGAGAATTTAGTCGAACACACAATTCAGGTTCCAACAAAAACTCTAATGTCAAAACACTGGCCAAAACTCTAGATGTTGCAGATGTAAGAAATCCTACAAAACAGCATACACCTAAAAACCCAAAGATGATCCTTTTCTGAGAAATAAAAAATCTAGCTCATCACCTGAGCAACCAACAGTCTGCACTCCCAAATTTTAAAAAAATACCATTATTTTGTGACTATACCTACGAAGCACCACAGAAAAAGAAGAAAATTTAGGCAAAGCCCAATCAACACCTAATCTTGATAAAGCCGTCTATGTCGAACAAGAAACCTTAAATTTTGAAGTAATCCAACAAAGCAACAAGCCCAAACCAACAAAGTTGTAGGTCCAACCAAATGAACTTAAGCCCAATAAAAAAATTAACCAACCATCGCTAAAAATCTTACAAGGCTATGCCGATTCCATCTCATTCATCACCAAATCCGACACCAAAACCAACTTTCTCTCCATTACCACCCATGAGCTCACCTCCACCTCCAGTTTGCTCCCAACCTCCACATGTCCAGTCACCTCCACGACCCAAGCACTTACAACCACCACCACCTGTAAGCTTACCACCGCCTCTAGTATTCTCGCCACCACCACCTGTGAAGTTACCTCCATCACCATCGAAGCGGTTTGCACCATCTCCAATATTCTCCCCACCACTCGAATTTACATCTAAAGCCTCCTAGTTGGATAAGAGATCGATTTGTTTGGAGAGAGCCGGAATTTTCGTCAGCCCTGATAGGGAAGCAAGCAGCAGCAGCAACGTCGCGAGAAGCCGTTCGCTGCTGCAGCGGCAACCATCGTAGCAAGGCTTTGCTGGTCGCAGCAATAACGGCGCGTCGCAGCAACCATCATTAGTTTTCTTTGACTTTATTGAAGCAAGTAAATCATTATACTTTGAAGCCCAAAGCATGAAACGTACTATTAGCCAGATTGAGCAAAATCCTGCTTTATTTTCATTTAAGATGCTTACATACTGGTCGAGTCTCAGAATTTACCTGTCATTTGTGAACAGAAAATGAATGGAGTGATATTTGTATCTGTATATTTTTGTACTGGAATTAAAATGATGAATTTAATTGAAACTGAATGCAATGAAAATTGCAATAGTTTGTTGAGCTTTTGAGAGGATCGACTCTTTCCCACACCCTAAGTTCTGGACAACTGATCCTACTTCCCAACCACTTATTTATACTTTGATTCCTATCAATTTGTTTTACTAAATCCCCATGATACCCCTCCCCTACTTTAACTAACTGAATGGAAATATTCATATGCCGTTGGGGCCTATCTCATACTTACACGATGAACTGTTATGTTAATGAAGCTGGCTTGCTGCCGCCATACACTGCTACCACTTCAGGATTGATTTCAGAGTTCTTCGTAGGATAAAAATGCTTAGGTTGTATAATGTTCATAAGGGCAGAGTTGACTAACTGGAAGCTCGTTATTAATTTAATATCATGGGGCAGTCACTTCGACCCTAAATGCATTTGCAAGATCTAACTATAATTTTCTAAAATAATTTTCTGGGGTAATATTTGTTTATCTGAATATTGTAATGGAGCTGGGAGGTCAGATAACTTTTTGAATATAAAATATTTTCCGTCGATTTTGATTTTGCAATGATATATTTCCAACTATTGCAATCACATTTCACTTTCTCCAGTGTATCTCAGCTTACAGTGGACATTATAAGCCAACTGATGATAGCCTTGACAGCTTTTTATCATTTTTAAAGGAAAATGGAGTCAACCTGGATGAAGTTGAGGTATGTCACCTACATTTTATGTTCCACGGACTATCACATATGAGATCCTTGACTATGGATCTTGCCTTTGGCATTGGAGAAGCAAGAGTGTTGAATTGATTTTGAGGGCGTGGGGCTATTGCTCTTTTAGATATTCTTAAAAAATTGTTGAAGTTCATACACATTACTATACAGAGCACAGGATGACAATAGTAGTTTTTTTTTGTTCTGTTCATGTAATTGTAGTTCCGGGTTTTTGTTTGAGATATGACATAGTATTAGTGAAAATTACCCCACTGATATGCAAATTCTGGCATGTCTCTGATTGAAGTACACGAAAAGACTATGGATAAAATCACAGGAACTATGCATTGCTCCTGAAATAAATAAGCAAACGAGCTTGCTGTCACCAAGAGGTAGATAGTTTTTAGATAGTTTAAGTAGGTTTCTTCAGTGAGGCTTGCTGTTCTCTTGCTGGTTCACACTGAGTTTCACTTCTGATATTAATTCTTTCTTTTCAACTTCTGATCTTTTAGTATTTAAGCTGAAAGTGATGACCCATGTCTTATCTATCAGATACGAAAGGCAAATGATGACTATGAGTGTTATGAACGCCGAAAACCTGCTAAAGCTCAGTCTGCAACTGAAGTGTCGTCGATCTCAGATTCCATTCAACCTGATCTTCCCTTTGAAGAGGAAAAAGACCATTCTTCAGAATCAACCGAAGCTCCTCAGACTGAAACTAAAGTCGAGTACAAGAGGACGCTCTCTGGTGGTCTTCAGAGCCCTAAAGCAGATGTCCCAAAGAGAGCAATATTGCAAAGGATTAATTCCAAGAGGGCCGCCAGTTCATATCAGTTAGGTCAACAACTCTCCCTCAAATGGTCAACTGGTGCTGGCCCCAGAATCGGTTGTATTGCTGATTACCCTGTTGAATTGAGATTACAGGCATTGGAACTCACTAATCTCTCACCACGAACTTTTCATGAATCATCGACCCCAAGGAGGATTGCTGCTATTTCTTCACCTACAGTTTGCAGGCAAAAATTTAGTAATGGAAATATAACGAGCTCTTGACGTTTTGAGTCCCGCGTTTTTAGCCTCTCTCCTACCATTTCTCCTACAGTGTGTTGTGTAGCGTATTCGCACATATTCTGCTGGCATTTACTTTACAATCTCAACACTGTAGTCTGATCTGTCCCTGCCTGCATTTCTTCATAGTTAAGTAGCATTTGCTGTCAATAAATGAAGACTGGTATTTTAAGCTCCACTTTGATCTTTATATGCACCATCCTTACCTAATATAGTGTAAACTTTAAGCTCCAAGTCACGATTAGAGCTAATTATGATGGTTCTGTACAGAATCTGTTGATTCTCGGCGATAGAAGCGGAATTATGATGGTTCTGTACACATCTAGTGAAACCAAACTGTGCTACACCATGCCCAACCCCAATGTCTATACTCGTACATATTATCAGTGTCCCCAAGCCATCTATTAGATGATATACATTGCCTTTAGCCAAAATTTGATTTGCATATTATTCTCTGTACATCCATTTTCTAGGTGATGCAACTGAGCCACCTAGAAAAATTGAGATTGATTGTGCAACTAAAATGAAAAATAGACGATTAATTTTCTCTTTTTTAGAAGGGTGAACACTCAGCGATAGGTCAGAGACTAATTGCAATATTTTCCCTATTATTTCAAGATTCTTGGCCTTTTGGATGCGCTAATTAGGACTCTGCATTTCTTTATGCTTTAGATTTGTTCAACAATCAATAATTAAATATTTTTTTATTAGGGTTCTTGATTTCCTACATGGAAAATGATGGGAAACTGTGCAAAGCAATACTATTTATAGTGAGAGATTGAGAGTAGTTTCGAATGATTTTGGTCTATAATGGAAACACAAAAGAAGGTAGAAAGAAATATTTTATTTGCCCACATTTGAATTTGTACAGTACAATAAAGAAAGTTATTATCAACTTGATTGTGACACGTCCCCTAACTACCTAACATAGTGCACTGTGATTGCAAGAGGTGTACACATTTACAAATAACAATTTACAAACAAATATACAAGTATCAGTTCTCCTGCAGACGAAGGGTGGTAGGAGCAAGAACCCTTAGTTTGTGCTTCAGTCGAGTCAAATGTTGAACAACAAGAGGTTTTGTAAGGATGTCTGCAAGTTGATAAAATGCAGGAACATGCTGGACAGCTAGAGTGTTATTAAGAACTCATTCCCCGACAGAGTAGAGGTCAAGCTCCAAATGGTTCGTACAAGAATGTAAAACTGGATTAGCACTAAGCCACCATGCTCAGATTATTGCACCAGATGACTCGAATTTTAGTTTGATAGATTCAGAGCTCCTTAAGTAAAGATTGCAACCACATTAATTTAGAAGTAACATTCTAAGCTACGGTATTCAGCTTTAGTACTTGAGTGGGAAACAGTAGATTGTTTCTTTGAACTCCATGAAACTAGATTATCCCCAAAAAATAAACAGTAACCAGAAGTCATCTAAGTCCCGTGCCCAATCAGAAACTGAAAACTCATGAAGATGAAGATTATTAGATTTGGAGAAGTAGAGACCATGATTTGCAGTACCACAAAGATATCGAAGAATGTGTTTGACTGCTTTCCAATGTGTTTCAAGAGGAGACTGCATGAATTGGCCTGCCTTATTTAGACAGTATGCTGTTTCAGGCCTAGTAACTGTTACATATAGCAATGCCCCAACAGTGCTTCGGTATAAAGTTGGATCGCCATCAAAGAAAGTGGGGACTGACTTTGTCACCATGGGAGTTGGTTGCGGTTTAGCGTTGCTCGTCTACATATACAATGACACAGAACTTCGGTATAAAGTTGGATCGCCATCAAAGAAAGTGGGGACGGACTTTGGCACCATGGGAGTTGGGTGCGGGTTAGCGGTGCTCGTCTACATATACAATGACACAGATACAAAGTGTGGCATTGCATTTGATAAAAAGAGAAGTATCTGCTCAAGAAGCATGAAAACCAAGAGATAAGAGACAAGTCTTCAAAAGATCAAACCATGCCCGAGGGGCTTGTTTTAATCCATACAAAGCTTTATTGAGCTTGCAGACCAGCTTATCATTTGGTGCAGTAGTTAAGACTACGCTCTACTAGGCGTATGGTCTAATGGTTAGACCTTCGGCAGTTGATCTTTGCAACTTTGTGTTCACAAATTTACTGTGTTTACTAATCACCTAGTTATCTTTAGCTTTAGGGGAATGCTTAGTTGATTTTTTTCATATGTTGCATTTTGAATTTCAAGTTATTATCACAACTATACAACTTAGACTTAGGAAGTGAATTATCACAAATATTAATTTTTAGGAAATTATTCAACTAGAATAAGTACTTTTATAATTAAACAAACAGCTCAAAAGTAACTTTTAGATTTCAAAAGCTCATTTTGACTTTTCAAAATCCGTATTGAATAGACTCTAACTCTAATTCCCCTACTTTCTCTAAAGTTCCACAAGCTTTGCCTACCATTCACTACACTAATGAAGCCTACGACATCCTTGTCAACATCAATGTGGTAGCACAAACTCCTTTTAAACTCACAACCGACAACTACATCTCTTGGAAATTATAGTTTCAAACTACATTCATTGACTATGACCAAATTGGTTGTGTTGATGGATGAAAACAATCCCCACCACCAACACTCACTCAAAATGGCACGCAATTATAAATCATTCCCACATCATGTGGACTCGTCAAGATAAACTAATCCTCAATGCCATCGTTGGCTCGATCTCACCCACCATAATACCCTTTATTGCTCAAGTCAAAACATCTCGTCAAGCATGGACCATTTTATCCACCACATCCTTTCGAGGCCGCATCAGGCAAATTAAAAGCTTATTTTTGAGTGAATTTTTGTTTGTTGCCTTTTTAATTGATTTTTTATTGTTAGATTACACTAATAACTAGTGGTTTCGTATTCTATTTTCGTTTATTTTCAATCGACAAGTAGTTTCTGAATTGGAATCAATTGGTTTGGTTCCGATTCGGTTCTATAGTTGGATATGAAACTAATAGTTTCATTTATAAGATTTCCCTCGGTTCCAGCTAGAATGTTACTGCTATACTAAGAACAATACAGACAATAGTTAGTTTAACAACAGAGTTAATTGTGTCATGTAATCAATGCTAGGACATTGATGAAAGCCCTTACCTTCTATGCGAGCTTTGAATCTCTTAACATAGCCATCAAATTTATGTTTAGTTCAAAAAACACTTACAGCCAACAAGATGTTGGAATTAGGCGGAATCGGCTCCCATGTTCTATTTCGGACTATAGCCTCATACTCCTCAGAGATAGCCCGACGCTAGTTGGGGTCTTTTAGAGTTTGGGCCATAGTGGTGTGTTCAAGAACAAAAAATGGGAAGGATTGGATATGAATGTTCATTTTTGTATGAGTTTTGTGAATATTGTTTTTAGCCATAGCTGTCATGTAGTGAATAGACAGGGAATGGTTCATGGGTAGATTAAGGGGTGGATGTGGAGTCAACGAAATGTTGGGAGATGATTGGGTGAATGGTGAAGGTAGGAGTAAAGCTGGGGGAGGAGATATTATCAAGATAATTATGGGAAGTGGTAACTTTAGATGGCGTGTGGAATAGCAATATATCAAATGGAAATGTGACTTAGAGTGGTGAAGAAAACCAAGTGGTGATGGCGTGTGGTTGAGGGTGAGATAGATGAGTGCATGGGAACACATACTCAACAAACTTCACATGGAGAGAGACATAAATTTTGAATGTTAAAGGATCAAAACAATAGTATACACTCTGAGTTAAAGACTAACTGAGGAAGACACAAGGTTTAGAGTGAGTCAAACTTGTGGGAGGTATATGGACTATGGGTAACATAGACAACCAAAAATTCGTAGTTCGGCATAATAAGGAGTAGTTCTAAATATGCTTTCATATGGCAAGGAGTGGAATAGTATCGGTGTTGGCATGTGATTGATAGCAAAAGCAAGACCAGTAAGTTAGATGGAGTGAGGCATGAGATAATAGTGCTACACCAATTTCGACAGTGTGAAGGTGTTGTCGTTTAGGGAAACACTTTTGATCAGGGAGGTGAGACGGTGTGGTTAATGGGATATACCATTGATTGATAGAAAATGAGCAAGTGCGATGTATTTGCCACAATTGTCTAAATGTAGATTTTTTATATGATCGTCAAATTATTTTTGTACAATAGCTTTAAATCGAATAAAAACGTCTTTCATGTCAATTTTTTGTTTGATAAGATAAAAACATATGTATCATGTATAATGATCAATAAAGAACATATTATTTAAAGCCATCATGTGAAATTAATGGTGAAGTCCTCACAACAGAGAATATAGTTTTAATATAGGTGGGATGAGACCTAGTATTGAGTTGAAAAAAAGATAACTTGTGGTTTTTAATACTAAGACAAGCATTACATGAAATGACAAAGATGTAAAAGTCCAAAGTTATTAGTCGAAAAATGCATTTTGGAATGGAAATCGTCGAATGCGCTAATCGATGATGTCACTTGAAAAATAAAATTTTAATGCTTGAAAATGCAAGCAACGGGGTGAATATTGGCCACTCACTCATATACGCTATCTTTAGTTTTGTCGGTTAGAAGCAGTGCCCCCTTGCGAAAGTCCTTCACAAAAAAAGCACATGGTAAGAACTCGATTAAAAAATTATGTCGGTGTCCATCTACTTCAATTCTAACATCCCACTACATTTTTGGGGCATCAAAATATCTAACCAAAATTTTTAGACCTCAAAAATGTAAGGAAGTGTCAAAATGTAAGTGGAGACATCATATGTGGGCTCATTGAGTTGGCTATCTAACATTTAATCATCTTAATCAATCCACATTTTAAATTATAATTCGTCTTGATCAAATATAGTTTTTATTCATATATTTCGTATGATTCACAATCACCGAACACTTACTATCTATATATTTCGTAAAACTCATCCTTTATAAATCTTTCCTAAACATGTGTGTACACATAACACACATATAATAATAATAATAATAATAATAA